CTCACCTTCCTTGGTATGAAGTTTGTGGTTGTGATATATAATGTGCCCAGTGGGCCACTTTTGGTAAGCAGAACTTGCACTGTGGGATGAACAAAACGTAATGTAACGGTGCCGAAATTACTGATCGATCCTTTATTTTTATACCCTTTTATACCCATTAGTGGTGATAGAGGGTATATATAAGTTTGTCGTTCCGTGTGTAACACCAAGCAATATTCATCTAAGCCACAACAAAGTATATTTATTCTTGGTTCTTATGAAATCCTGAGTCGATTTAGCTATGTCCGTCTGTCTGTGTAAAACACAACTCATGTTAAAACTAAGAAATGGAAATCAACTAAATTCACCCAAAATATTTATTGTTATCCTATACATTTTGGCGTTGAAAAACAGCAAAATCGGTTCCAAACGTAAAAAGTTATGAGTAAAAATTTCAGACTACCTCGAAAAAATTACTTTTTTTTTCTAATTCTTAAGAAATTTTCTCAGAAACTACCAAAGTTATTTCGATGAATTTTGTCACACGTTATTATTTCAGAGCAGTGATAAATTATGTTCAAAATCTTTACAATTGATCCAATATTTCCCATAGCCCCCATACATAGGTATATATTCCCGGAAATAAATTTATCGTTAATAACTACCTCAAATATATCGGTATCAAAACAAAATTATGTACATGCAAATATAATATGAACAGAAATCATACTATCAATGTAGATCTCATTCGGTCCACAATTGGTCATAGCTCCCATATAAGGTCCACTTCTGAGAATTACCTAAACGCACATATTTCATTGATAAATAGAGCTGTTGTGATATAAGTCGAGTAGAGAATTACATACAAATCATTCAACAAAATTTTTTACGTATCGGTCCATTATTGCTCATAGCTCCCATATAAGGCCCACTTCCGAAAATCACTTAAAAGCACATATTTCATTGTCAAATAAAGCTTTCTTGATAAAATTCGACACAGATATGTTTTGTCCAAATATGAATCCTTCTAGAAAACTTTTTCCGGATGGGCCCATAATTGGTCATAGCTCCCATATAAGGTCCACTTCCGAAAATCACTTAAACGCATATATTTCATTGAATTCTAAAGTTATAGGGATAACATTCGACTTGAATATGTTATGTGTACATAAAAATTATTCTACCAAATTTTTTACGGATCGGTCCACTATTGATCATAGCTCCCATATAAGGCCCACTTCCGAAAATCACTTAAAAGGACATAAAAGTGTATGTTGTGTTTATAAATCATTCCACGGAAATTTTTCCGGATCGGTCCATAAGTTGTCTTAGCTCCCATATAAGGTTTACTTCTTAATACCACTTAATTCGTTATTAAATGATTATATCCGGATAAAATTCGACATAATTATGTTTTGTGTATAGATAAATCATTCTATTAAAATGGACCTAATCAAAATTAGTTCGACATATGCATAAATGTTAGTACCCTCAATACAGAAACAAAAATTTTGCCAAGTTATCTAAAAATTAGATAGTTAAATGGGTTTTAATAAAAATTTACTTACTGGTGGAGGGTATTTAAGATTCGGCATGGCCGAATATAACACTCTAACTTGATTTTTTTACTATTTTTAGTTCAATTTTATATTAATATTATCTTAAACTATCTTGTCTTTAACCAGAAAGTATTTTTGAAACTCTTCTATCTTTTAAAATAAATTTCCACACAATTTTACAGTTTTCTACTGTGCATGACCATTTTTTATTTGTATTTTTTGATTATATAATTAATAATTTGCATATCTTAATAGCTAATGTTAGTAACGAGAAAAAATATATATTTCGATTGTATGGTGGTATTGAAAATCTTCCTCTTTTACGTTTTTTTCCTGATGTTATTATTAGCACACGTTTTTCATAAAATAATAGTTATCAAATATGTATGTATGGTTCTGTAAAATATAGTGTTGAAATCATAAACCTAATTTAGTTTGTAGCAGACGGGTCCATTTATTAAAACACGTTTTTCATTTCTAAATATAATAGTTATTAATATGGGTTAGTAAAATATAGTTTTGAAATCATAAACCTAATTTTGTTTGTAGCAGACGGTGGTCCATTTAACATAATCCTGGTCAATCACTGAGTTATTTACTTTGCAAACACTGAGAAACAATTTAAACTTTAACGGTGGTACGTGGTTCCAAACCAATTTGGAAACCATTACCCAATTTCAAAATAATATCACCCTGTAAATCAAAGTCTTTTTCGGTACGTGACGAACTTACACGATAGTTGCGTATGATGGTGGATAGCAAGACTTTCAATTGCAACATGGCGAATTTACGGCCTACACAACTACGTGGACCAGCACTGAAGGGTATGTAACTGTAGTAATGTCTGTTGGCTGAACGCTCGGGCAAAAAGTTATCGGGATTGAATTTTTCGGGATCGGGGAAGGTGTCAGCACGTCTGTGTATGAAGAATTGTGATACTATGACTGTGGTACCTTTGGGTATGATATAGGGTCCAGATTTCAATTTAATGTCTTCTTCCAGTTTACGGGCGATTACCGGTACTGGTGGGAACAAACGTAAAGTTTCACAGATTACACGTTCCAAGTAAGTCATTTGCAATGTGTCGGCAAATGTACAGTCACGTTGTAAATCATCGCCGAATATGGCTTGTTGTTCCTCGAATACACGCTGTTGGATATCCTGGTGGATACCCATAGCGCATAGAGCAAAACTGGAACCGGAAGCTGTAGTATCGTGACCCTATAGATAAAATTGTGTAGAAAGTTTTGATATGATTTGAAAAGGTTTATATCTCGACAAATATACATTTCATTAATATATATAAAATCCCCAAAAGTCATCCCAAAACTTACCTCAAACATAATGGTGTTAACTTCATCCATAACATCCTTTTCGGTCCATTTGATATCGGGATTCTTTTCCATTTCCATCATAGCATCCAATAAGGCCAAACGACGTTTCTCGCCTACATCATTCTCATCAATATCATCCAAATCGTCACGTAAACCATCCTTTTTAGTCTGTTGTTGTTTCTTCTTCAAAGTATCGTCCTTATCGATAATACCTCTTTCCTCAGCATTGAAATTCTTTTTACGATCTTCCACCACCTTACGGGTCATGCTGAGAATAACATTCATCAATTTGTTGTTCTGTTCACGCATCTTAGTGAAATTGAAAGTCGAGTCCAAACGATACAAGAGTTTCAATTGACGATTGTGAATAATGTCACACATGTTCATGACAGCTTCGGCATATTCGGCACTCTTTTCGGTCTCAGGTTTAGTCTTGCAACCCATTGCGGTGGTAAGTAGAATATCCACAGTTGTTTCGGACATGTACTTATGAACATCGAATTCTTTGCCCACATTGGCGGATAAACGTCCTACAACTGCCTTTGAGTGGTTGACAAAAGTGGGAACAAAACTCTTCAAAATACTTTGATGGAAGGTAGGAGCAATCATTTTGCGATGATGACGCCAATGATGTCCATTCGAGATCAAAAGACCATTACCAAACCAGGGTTGGAAATAGCGATATTCCACCGATTTTTCCAAATGCTTATAACCACTCAAAACAATTTCAACATCTTTGGGATTGGTAATGAAAACCAAACTTAAATGTCCCAACATGACACGTACAGTTTCGCCATAAGTTTTAATTAGTTTAATGCCAATCTTTAAGGTTTCTACATTATTTGTACTGAACACCAAATGACCGTGACCCACTAAAGGCATTTGTGGTGGTGTGGGTATAGTTTCCAATAATTTGGCCTCTCTATTATTACGACGATAGTACTCGTACAGAGCAGCTATGACACCCAAGCCAAATAGTAGAGTCACCAAAGGATTAGGACCAGACGAGGCTGCCGCTGCCAAAGTTTCGCCTGCCATTTGAGGAATCGAAGTTTGCAGCGTTTCCACCGACATTGTTGTATTGTAATTATCCTTTGTTGTGAAATTTCTCAAAGTGTAATAATCCGTATTTCACAGTTATATGAAATTTCTTATTTCGATATAACACTTGTGTACTCGATAACGATCTTATCAAGTCCGCACTACAATTAGAACTAATGTGATTTCTTGTCCTCCGTCTGGATTATTATATTCATTTTTCTGCGTCGCTTTAACATTATGAAATTAGTTCGATTACATGTAAATATTATTTTTTTTTAATACTTACAATAGAATATATTAAAATTGAATAAAATATTAAGTATATAAAAAAAATATTTTTGTAATCGTGCGCAAATCTAAACGCATATTGCTTAAAAATTATATGTATGTACAGGTTTTGTTTTTGATAACCTATTTGTATTTCGAATATCCGAAAATTATTTTAATGAAATACATAAAAACTGACCTCGCTTCGAAAAATATTTATTCGGAAATGGTTTTATTACAAATTGAGTTTCACATTTGCATCCATATATCTGTTAATTCATTTTAAATTAATTATAAATGTACCTACGTATTATTAATAATAAAAATGAATGAGTTGATAAATGTATTATTGTACAATGATGAGTTCGCAATAACTATTTCCATACACCCCTGTTCAGTGATCCGATTTTTAAAATTTGTTTACAAATACTGTTTTGTTTTCATTTGGAAAATGTAAAAGTCATCCCTATTTTGCAAAATGTAAAAATGTTGCGAAATCATTAAAAATTCAGTCGAATATATTCCTCCTAACATTTAGTTATATGTGATCGCGAGAATGATGTTTTATTATGAGGACCTTGTATGGGTGCTAGGATCAAGTGGTGTTAGATCTTTACCAAATTTAATCGTTTTATAATTTCTGAAAACTCAAATTTTTTTCCTTTGGACTGTAATTCAGGCGATGATCGCGCTTTATAAGATCATATCTACAATTAATTTTATAGCGTGATCTGTGACAAATATGAATCAATAAAAGTGATTACCAACCATAATGGCAAATTAGGGTAATTTTTAGAACTATTAGCACAATATCTATATTCTAAAGAAAAAGATAATTTATGATTGATATCGGATGGGAAACCAAAAAATTGCGCGCGTTAAAAATTTTACATGTCGAAGGTATGCCACTTTGAGCCCCCATAGCACCGCCCCTGAAGCATTTGTGGGAAACGTTCTCATAACATAAACTCGAATACTCCTTGGCTACACCTATGTCAGATCAGACTAGCCGCTTAGAAATGCCAGAGAGCGAAGACACATTATGTCATCTGTAAGTCCAATTTGTAGACTTTAATACAAAAATGTTTCGAATTCAACGAGTGACTAAATCGACTAAAGTTTTGTCAAAAACTTCAAATAAATATTTTTAAGCTTCAAATTGTCTTGGTTTTGTTAATCGCCAATATGACAGTGAAATTCGACATTTGGTCTGTTTCCTTCGAACCAGATCTGAACTATGTTAAAGTGGTCTCAAATTCTGATTAAATTTCTACCAATTCGACTTAATGTCGATGATTAGTTTGTCTTGATATTACAGTCCCTTTGATTGTGCTCAGTTTGACGCAAATATTAAATATAATTTGACGCAAGCTTTGAACCTTTCTGACCATAATACCAACAAAAAGATGATGTACTCTAGTAAAAGTTACAGCAGATCCTTTAATTTAACTTCCGCACTATCGATTAGAATAAAATTTTTCATAATTAAATCGCCTGGGTTAGAGAGAAATCACAATAAAGTGACTTCGTATATAAAACTTTTTCGGGTCTTAATATCTTGAGTACAGCATAAACTGTGAGTGGCCTTACTATTCAAAAACAATACTTAACATACATAGGTACATACAGTTAATCTCAAAAATAAGTATACAGAAATACTGACAATTGGTTTTATTTAAAAAAGGATATTATTCTTTCAAAAATCAAAAAAGTAACACATTTATTTATTAAAAACAATTATGATAATTATTATTCACTACTTTTTTCCGGGTTATTTTGGTTACTTGAGTTCTTATTTAAGGTGTAGTTAAATAGGTGCAAAATTTACGTCACAAAAATAAGTATACAGATAATTTCAATATGTATTTGGCTTAATGATATTAACAAAATTCATGAAAATTTTACCTGTTTGAATGTAATTATTTTATAATAAAATATTCTGTACACTATAACATGGAAAAAATTCACTTTTTGTTCCGAAAAATTGAAATTTTTGATAATTGATCTGAATAATATTTATAAGAGCATTTTTTCCTATTTAAGAACATCTGGCTATTTAAACCCCCGGAGTTTTGGATCGGGTATTCAATAATATCCCTCGTTTGTTCATTATGATGCATTGGAAGACGATATATTAACTTTTAAATTAATTGTTTCTTTACCCATTGCGGAACATGGCCGTTTTTAACATATTATAGCGTTCATATTCGATATTTAACGGCGATTTCCTAAATTTATGTCTTAAAATGCGATATTAAAAATATTTGTACTAGTTTTCATTAATTAAAACAAGTTTTTTGTTTCCAATCATCCATTACACACTCCTAAATACTACCAATAATCAAATGTGACCATGTCAATAACTGAAATTGATTATTGTCCAAAATAGTAAGATTTTTATATTATATCAGGCTCAATTGGTGGTATGAATACGAATTGAACAATTTTGAACACGGATACATCTTAATTTGTTGCTAGAACAAATAAAATGTCCGATGCATAAAACATGGTTATTGTATCGAGTATATCAAGATATGATTGGTAGCATTATTGTATGCTTTGGAAATCGGAGTATTTGGAAAACCTGTTTATATTAAAGGAAATATATAGAATTATCAAAATTTTAAAGTTTATGTTGTAAGTCTTAAGAAATCGGAGTTAAATTTCGGTTTTTTAAGAAAGTACTATGTTCAAAATGGCCAAATCCATGCATATAACATTGATTTCGAAATAACAACTCTTTTCAAAAGTTAAAAATTCTATTTGCAATGCATCATTTGGAGGATTCAATGACCACCAGATCCAAAACCGAGGTCTAAAGTGGAAAAAAAATCGTAGAAATGAGAAAAAACTGTTCTACTAATTAATTCCGGAGCCAATCGGCCCAAATTTCAAGATTTCGGAACTAAAAGTAGATTTTTTCCAAGTTATTGTGTAAAAAATATTTTATTAAAAAGTAATTATATTAATACAAGTAAAATTTTCATAAATTTTGTTAATATCATTAAACCAAATATATACTGAAATGATCTGTATACTTACTTTTGTGACGTAAATTTTGCACCTTTTTAACTTCAGCATAAATGAGAACTCAAAGAACCAAAATATGAAGAAAAAAAGTAATGAATAATAATTATCATAATTGTTTTTAATAATTAAATGTGTTACTTTTTTGTTTTTTGGAAAAATAATATCTTTTTTTAAATAAAACCAATCGTCAGTATTTCTGTATACTTACTTTTGTGATTAACTGTACATGTGCATTATAAAACAAACTTAATTGTTTGTAATAAAAGTTGAACTCTTGCCAAGGAAACCAAGCAGACTTTTGACCTGTTATTTTAAACTTTAAACAAAAAACTAAGTTCCATTAACAAATAAATATCGGAGACCATTAAACGAATCATATAATTTAATGATTTCATTCATAAAATCCCCTATTTTAAATACATATCTTTGTTATTCACTACTGTCTAATTGAAAGTGAAAATCATTCATATTCTCATATCCTTCCGGCCTACTCAGACTACAGGATGCTTAAAAATAAAAGAACAAGTGTGCTTTGGTTACTCTATAGCACGAAATGAGAAATATTATGCATGGACACAAATACAACAATTGATTCGTACAATAAAAACAGACAATGGTTCTAAAAATCCGCCACACACTTGTTGGTTTCTATTGTAAAACAAATTTTGAATTTTTTAAACTCCGGAAATAAAAGAATGAGAGTGTATGGAGAATAAAAGATTTCATTTTCATTTAAATAGTAGTCTTTACAAAAACTCATTAAATAAAAACCACAAAAACTTCAAATTTTGCACAAACAAAGAAAACTTTAAGGACTAAGAAAAGAAAGGACCTTTTTCTTTAAATACACGTGTTTAAAGCGTGTATAGGAGATGGAATTAAGACAATAAAAAAAACTAAAATATTTATGAGAGTTTTTACAGTTTTATTTACTGTGCATGCATAGTTATAAAAATAGTTCTTAATGTTAGTTATTCATTTTATTTTTTTTTTGTAGTTTTTTAAATAATTTGCAGAAATTATACTATAAGTTATAATTTTGAAATTATATGTTCGTACATGTAGTTAGTTGGGTTAGTAGATTGCAGCCCTTTTTTTTGTTAAAGAAAATTCCAATAATAGTTAAATTAGCATCTTACTGACTAATATCTTGCATGTTAGTATAATAGACCTTTTTAGACATCTAATAGGAATCATTACTTTATCTTAAGCTGTCTGTTGTCTGGGTTCCAGCAATACATTAAAACCATTTTCCAATTTCAAAATAATATCAGCTTGCAGTTTGAAATCATCCTCTGTCATCTTCGAATCTACTTTAAAGTTACGTACAATGGTTGACAGTAATACCTTCAATTTCAACATGGCATATTTACGACCCACACAACTTCTGGGTCCAGCACTGAATGGTATAAAACTGTAGAAATGTCTCTTAGCCATGCGTTCGGGCAAGAAGTTGTCAGGATCGAATTTATTGGGATTAGGATAGATGTCGGCATTACGATGTACGGCGAATTGTAAAACGACAACGGAAGCTCCCTTGGGAATGGTATAGGGACCAGAAGCCAACTTGACATCGTGATCAACACGACGAGCAATCAAAGGTACTGGTGGATACATTCTCAATGTCTCCATAATAACACGTTCCAAGTATTTCATTTCCATGGTATCGGCAAAGGTGCAATCACGTGACATATTATCACCAAAGATGGCCTTCTGTTCAGCCCATACTTTCTCCTGGATATCCTTGTGGATGCCCAACATGCAGAGAACAAAACTAGAACCGGCTGAGGTGGTATCGTGACCCTGTGAGGATAGGCCAAAGAAAATGTTATGAGTAATCAAAACCTTTCTTTTAATCGTTTGCAATCGGATCTGTCAACGAAACTTGTTTTGATCTCAACGAAACTTGTTTTGAATTTTATATTCGTCAGTGAGCAGTTATGGGCATCTTTTCCATTAATCTATTTTCAAAATTATAGTGCGACTTACAAACTTTACCTTGGCAGGCAGAAGGACTTGAGAACATCGCCAAATCTAATCAGATCTGGATTTTAAGTCCACTGGTATACAAGAGGAACACTTGAGTTGAGATGCAATATTAATTTTTTTGATTTTTTTATTTATGGCTCGAAAGACCATTAGTTTGACTTATGATTGTCAGACGGACGGACTTAAGTACGTTTTGGAATTGGAATAAGTAAATTATTCCCGATCAACTATAACATTAATGGGCGACCTCTTTCTCGGTGCAATTTTTTTCTTTGCCTCTATTACTTATAGTTCGAAGTTCAATTTCGAAGTTCGAACCAGTTTTAGCTAGACGTTTTTTTTAAGTTTAAAATTTACTTTGTTTTGAAAGTCAATTTTAAAAAGTTTTTCTTTGATTGCGTTGTTTATGGTTCGAAGGACCATTTTGAGTCACACGTTTTTTAAATGCTTCATTATTTTTTTTTTTGTTTAGAAGAACTTGTAAAACTTACCTCAAACATAATAGTGTTAACTTCATCCATAACATCCTTATCGGTCCATTCAACATCAGGATTCTTAGACATTTCCATCATAGCGTCCAACAAGGCCAAACGACGTTTAGAACCTAGATCACGTTCCAAATATTAATAATCACCAATATCAAACGATTTCACTTCTTTCGATACTTACCCACATCATTTTCATCAATATCATCCAAATCATCACGCAAACCGACCTTTTTAGCCTGTTGCTTTTGCTTGACAATTTCATCTTCTTCCTCTACAATAGCTCTGGCATCAGCATTGAAATCCTTCATACGATCATTGACCACCTTGCGTGTCATACCCAAAATAATATCCATCATCTTGTCACCCTTCTTGCGCATCGGTGTTAGATTGTAGGTAGAATCAAGACGATAGAAGAATTTCATTTGTCTCTTGTGAATGATGTCACACATGTCCACCACAGCCTTGGCATATTCCAAACTTTTGTTATCCTCTGGTATGTGCTTAACACCCATAGCGGTGGACAACAAAATCTCTACAGTGGTTTGGGACATATAATCGTGAACATCAAATTCCTTGCCCACCTCTTTGGTCATACGTTGGACAACTTTCTTGGAGTGATGTACAAAGGTGGGAATGAAACTCTTCAAAATACTTTGATGGAAAGTGGGAGCAATCATTTTGCGATGATGACGCCAGTGATGACCACTGGAAATGAGAAGACCATCACCGAACCAGGGTTTAAAGAAACGATATTCATCGGATTTTTGTAAATGATGTTGACCGCTCAAAATAATTTCAATATCAGCAGGATTTGCGAGGAACACCACCAGAACGGGACCTAACCAACCGCGTATTGTATCACCGTAAATATCAAGATAATTGCGGGCACGGGCCATGATTTCTAGTTAAAGGGAAGAGAAATGAAAATTAAGAATTAAGTATTAAAAAGGAATTAATGTTTATGTTCACTTTACCACAGATAAAACTTACCAGAATTTGTTAAACCAGCCACCAAATGAGCATTGCCCAAAATTGGCACTCTGGGAGGGCATGGTATATTTTCCGAAAGTTTATATTCCCGAGTATTTTTAATCCAAACTTCGAATAGCACGACGATGGCAACAATGCCAATCAATACAGTCCACAAAGGATTTATGCCAGATGAGGAGGTTGTTTGTACAACTTCTGCCACAGTTTCTTGTACCGTTTCTACCACAGACATTTTTGAACGTTTTGTTTCTAATAACGCTGGAAATTAAACTAAACTTAGAACTATTTAATGAACGATAAATTTATATGTGCCTTTTAGATTTCTTAGGTCTTTATTTATTACAGCTCTTTCGATGGTTTCTAGAGAACTGTTGTCGAACTTAGTGGCTACAAAGTATTTTATTGTGTTTTAAACATTTATCGGGTGTATCGGGTTGGTATGAAGTTAAATAATTAATTTTATTCTTGCATTAAAGTTCATTTACGTTTTATATAAATCTATGTTTGAAGTTTAGTTTCATTTATTTTATTTAGTATATATTTTAAATTAAAACAACAAATAAATACAAAGTATTTACATTTTAATTATTTGTGTTTTTGGAAAAAAAGTTCCATTATCAATTAAAGAAAGGGGCAAAAAATTCAAAAGTAGACAAAAACCTTATTTTACGATTTAACATTATTCATCAAAATAAATTACGTATGTTTTAATAGGAAGACGAATTTTTGGTTGTTAACTATGCCATTGTTTTGATTTTGAAATTGTATTATAATTAGACAAGGATGTAAATTATTTATATTTATATGAATGTAAACCGAATAATCGTTTCATAATTTTTTTATTCTATTGATAACAGAATTTATGTTCACCTTGATCTAATTTTGGTAATGTAATGTAGTGTTAAAACTGTTAATGCTTTAACCCATTACGGGGTTTGTTTGGAAATATACAAGGGATGACTTCTATCTGATAACAGTCTTTAGTTTGTTAAAAATTGCATACGTAATTATCTGAGTTCCAAATTTCAAGATCATATACATATATCAATTTAGAAAATAGATTATACAATAATCTAAAATCAGCTGTAATTCCTTAAATAACGCTTTAACCCATTACGGGGTTTTGTTTGGAAATATACAAGAGATGACTTATATCTAATAACAGTCATTAGTTTGTTAAAAATTGCATACGTAATTATCTGAGTTCTAAATTTCAAGATCATATATATCAATTTGCAAAATAGACTTTTTATACAATAATCTAAAATCAGCTGTAATTCCTTAAATAACGCTCTAAATGAGAAACAAACAAAAATCTTTGTTTTACATATTTTTCATATTTGAAAACCTAAAACCGGCTGTAGATTCTTAAATATTTCTGCCAGTGAGCAAATAGCTTAAATATGTGATCACTTATATTATCCATTAAAAACCTATAACCCCAAAACAGTTCTCCAAATATAACAAGTGTGTTATATTCGGCTATGCGACATCTTATATACCCACCATTATAATATATGCCATATGTATGTATATTTCATGTGAATTTCGGAAAGTGGTCCTATACTATATGAATCGATTCTTTTGTTATCCTTATAAAATTTTACAGAGAGATTTTAATTCGGATAAAACATAAATTTCTATCTATCTATCTATAAAAAATTTGAATAATATAAGAGTTTCCAAGATGCACGAAATTTTGTATTTAATTCATATATGTTGTGCCAAGCCACCCATTGTTCAAAGTTCTTCATGTAAAATTTGAAGATTCTAGCTCTAATAGTTTCTCAGATATACGAATTTTTCTATTTGATTCATATGGGGGCTTCAAGACCCCCAGATGAAAGTCAGCTTTTTTTCCTCCAAAATGTTCAGATGAATATTTAAGTTCTTTGTGCAAAATTTGAAGAATTTCGTTCCATTAGTTTTCCAGATAAACGAATTTTTGTCTTTAATTAATATGGGAGGTGCCGCTCATGGGTAGTCCGCCAATTTATTATTCGTGCTAAATTTTAAGTTTCTAACTGAAATAGTTTCCAAGATAAACGAATTTTTGTCTTTAATTAATATGGGAGGTGCCGCTCATGGGTAGTCCGCCAATTTATTATTCGTGCTAAATTTTAAGTTTCTAACTGAAATAGTTTCCAAGATAAATTTTTTTTTTAATTTATATGGGAGATGCCACGCCCCCTAATGATAGTCCGACCACTTTTTATTCTAAATAATCATATTTACACTAAAGTAGCTCCGACAAAATTTGAGGACTCTAACTGTTATCTCAAATATACGGATTTTATATTTTCTTAATATGGGCGTGGCTTCTAGCCCACTTGAAATTTCAAAATAAAAAGTAGCCTATTACCTATTCCAGACATACAGGAATACGCTGTGAAAATTTGAAGAAAATCGGTTCAGCCGTTTAGTAGTCTATAACGTTCAAACATACAAATAAACAGACATTAATTTTTATATATATAGAAGAAGATGCCATATGTATATTTCAAGTGAATTTCGAAAAGTGGTCCTATACTATATGAATCGATTCTTTTGTTATTCTTATAAAATTTTACAGAGATATTTTAATTCGGATGAAACATGTTTATGTCGAATCTCGTTTCTATACTGCGTTATAGTAATTTTGTGAAGGGGACCTTATATGGGGATATGGTCAATTATAGACCGATCCTCATAAAAATTGACAGAGAGATTTAAGTTTCTATAAAATATGTATGTGTCGAATTTCTTTACGATACTGACATATTGAATCGAATTATGTGCGTTATAGTCAATTTCCTAAGGGGGTCTAATATGAAGGCTAGGTGAAATCGGTCTACGATTACCCATTATCAATACCAAACAAATAATCGCTAGCTCGTCCCGTTTGAACTCCATCGTGTTTTTAACAGACATACAGACTGACGGACATGGCTAGATCGTCTTACAATCTATTAAGAACCCAGAATATTATACTTTTATGGATCTTAGAGCCATATTTCGTTGAAATTTTCCATGAAAATTAATTTTTACATAAATTTAAGATCAATCAAATTTTCTGTTTCTATACCAAAGAACCAAAAAAGAGGAAAATAAGTGATCGCAGATTTTCATTGTCGAATTTTATCTAAGTTAGAATATAATTTCATCATGCAGAGATGGTTCTAGTACCTAACTATTACTTTACTCGTACGAAAAGCATCAGTTCTACTTCCCAATTAAAAACTTTATCAGATCAAAATGGTATGAATCATATTAATAAATAGTATGATAATGTACATGGGTAATACTAATATATTTTACTTGATAACACAGGTTGATGCCAAGATAACACAGGTCAAGAAATTTTTAACCCACAGACCAATGTATACTTCCCTAAAGCATTGAGCAGCGATGAATCCGAATCTGACCTCAAAATATCTCGATGAGAAAAGAAGATATCACAGTCCTTTACCTTTATTTTAAAGTTGACAGATTAGACTTTCAGATGACACAACCGATTTTATAAATATGGCCAAAAACTTAGTTTTCTCATACTTTATGACACGATATCTGGAAAACCTGATAAAAATTTTTGGTCTCTGGGTTTCGATTTTTTTTATTTTGTTGGCCTGTGTAATTTTTTCAACTACCTGGTCGAGAAATCGTCATCAATAATGTCATGAAATATATAATGGAGAAATTGAACTGAAGTCACAATAATGTCATAGATTAGTTTTATCTTTAATGTGGCTCCAACTTGCTTCTTGCCGGTGTTGTGAATCAATTCTTAAATTACCAAAAAGCTCTGGATTTAAAAGTAAGTTTAAGCTTTAAAATAATGTTAAAAAATTGTCATTTAACAAAATCATCTTCATTATTCTAACCCGAAAGACATGCCACATTTTCATATTCTTGTCACATATGATTTCTGTTCACAGTGGAAATCAGTTGATGCTTAGGATCTTAAGAAAAGTTTCTTAATATAAACGAAAAAAGGTATTATGAAAAGTTTTCTTATTTTCGTAAAATTAAAAAAGGGTTTGATAAAACAACATTTCGTATTATACATGAAACTTTCGTAAATATTACGAAAAAAAAGCAGCAACGAAAAATTTTTCATAAATTTCATATATAAACAAAAATTTCAGCTAGAAATCATTTAAACCAACAACTCTAACTATATACTTATGTAAATTATGTAATTCTTATACAACATTAAACGGTCATTGTAACACATTTATGTTTTCAATGTGTCAATTTAAAACCCATTTATGCATAATGTGCACTTTAAACATTTCAAACTTAAAAATAAAATAAAATTTAAATAAATTGTTCTTAAAACAAACTCAAAAGTATCACGTAGACTACAACGACAAGCACTAAACACTACGTCAGAAAGGTTGTATTCAAGTGCTCAAGTAAAACACAAACAATTTGTGATATTCCACACTTTTGCATTGATACGGATACGAATACATCAAGTAGTAGATCAGACTTTTAAGGCAGACATGTTTTATTTAATATTCTATTTCTAAGCACAAGTGTTTTACTTTATTTTTGTCTAAAAAGGAAAAAATCTTTAATTTCATTTTATTATTTTAAATAAATGACAAAAAGCCGCAGTTAAAATAAACAGCAAATTTTTATTTATGTTTTCTATGTCTTAAATATGGCACGCGTAAGTGAATAAGGACGATAAAGGACTTCCTTTTTTATAAACAATGCACAACAATAACATCAATACTTAAACATCAATTGTTATTCATGCATTTCAATTTCAAGAAGATCCTGTTGTTGTCTGTTTCATTTGATTGAAAGTGAAAACAATACAAGTTTTGAAATGAAACTAAAAGGAAGAAAGAAAAGTAGTTTGAGTTTTAGTTTCAACGTCTTTGATCAATTTCCGTTCAACAAGTGTTTTTTTTTTGTTTTTCGAAAATTTTGTGCTCAATTTAATTTAATGCAAAAAATAATATGATATTTTAAACCAAGTACTTGACATGAAGTTAGGAGGGATCGAAAATATTTTCTGTATGTTAAGGCATGCGTTTTATATTTTTTATAGAAATCATTTGAAATTGAAATAGTAAGGTCAGGAAGTAGATTTTAAAAACTATAACAAGGGCTAATTTTTTTATTCAGTATACCTGAAAATGTATATCATTGATATGTATACATATATGTATTAGTTAGTTTATGTATGTGGGATTAACGATCAAAATTTTCATTATTTATAATCTTAAGCATTTTTTTGTTGATGTGTTTTCAAATTTGTTTTCTAACTGTAATTTAATCATACTTTTAGGCGCATTTTAAAAAGTAGTGTGTTGTATTCAACAACCCTAGCAGCGCTGCTCATCGATCATCCAATACACCAACCTACTTGTTTTAAAAGTGTTAAAAAAGTTTTACATACTTTTAGGAT